GGTTGGAGAATTCTAAACGAACAATTCGTTCGTCGACACTTGGACGGTTAGAAATCCAAAACTGAGCGGTCTATCCGTATAACTCTGACTCTGGTAGCACTTAAAATAATAAAATTTGGGCACTTTTGTTTTAAATACTTAAAAGTAGAGTCATGTATTCCAGTCTAGCGCATTTAAAGATAGTAAATCCCCATAAAGAGCCTTTGAATTCAGTTTTTTGTCTCTCCTGTAAAATTTACGAAATCGGAGTTGGACGGTTAGAATTCTCCGCCGACGATTTGTATAAAAAACCCTTGATCAGGGACTAGATCTAGATCTAGATTCTAGATCTAGATTTTCTAGATCTAGACTCTAGGCCTTTCCTATTTTGGAATTTCTGCCCAGGCCCATGCAGCCACAGAGGCACTGGTTCACAACTTCCTGGTCCGAAGCCGAAGGTGGTGCACTCTAATCTAGACTAGATCTAGATTAGATCTAATCTAGATTTCTAGATTCTAGATCTAGATTTATGTCTACAAACTACAAAACAAAGTGTAAACTATGAACAGAGAGACCTAGATCTAGATCTAGATATAGACTATATTATAATAGGGCTAATATTTTAATGGGCTAGGCCCAATGTGACACAAAGTCAGTCAACTCGGTCTACTGTTGAGGATGTCTGAAAGCAAAACGTTAAGTCAGTTAAGATTAAAATTAAGGTTATTGATAAGAGGAGTCCCATTCAAAACTCACCGCTCGCTTTATCCACGGGATACACTTACTTTACTTACTAAAAACTAGACCTAATCTAGATTTAAAACAAAATAGTGTTCACAAACTAGGCTAAACTCCACACACTCCTCCTAGATCTCTAGAGTCTAATGATAATGAACTACAGTTCGCTCTTTCTTCCGTGAAAAACCTCGGATCAGTGAATCGAGCAAAACACATCCGGCTTCCATTGCATGGGCAAGCAGGCCTAATAATAGAGTAGTATCAGAGACACTAAAAATATAACTCTGGTAGTATCCAAGTGATTATTCCCAGTGACACTGGGGATAGGTAGCTAACAGAAACTAGGCTATTCCCAGTGACAACGGAATTCTTTTGCATAAAAAATAGGCTAAGTGCAAGGAGCTTAGAACTAATAGGCCTAGGCTACTGTAATTAAATACTCTCTGCTAATATTTATCCTCCTTGGCCAAGCAGAGAGTATTTAATTATTAAGTCTTTGCACTGAAGACATTGGGAATAGTTCCTAGGCTAACTGGGAATAGTTTCTGGGCCTATCCCCAGTATCACTGGGAATAGTGCTTTCCTAATAATAAAAAAAAATATTGTTGGCTAGCCAATGTAGTAGCCAATGTGGGTGGGCTGCTGACTGCTGTGTAGCTGGGCAGAGGCCGGGCGAGGAGTCACTGTAATGTTTTGGCGGCGGCAGGGGTCAGGGACAACGTGACATTAAAATTATATTATTTTAAGCCTAGGGGCCTACTAGAGATCTAGTAGCTTGGTAGCCTAGGATAGCTCTCTATAGCACATTAACCGAGGCCTACACACACACACTACATACATCCTGGTTGACAGCAATATCGGCTAGCCCAGTGGTTTTCAAACTTTTTTTTCGCCCACCGCCCCCTTTTTCACCCAGTCGAGTCACAGCGGCCCCCAACGCCCCTACTCCGCCCCACCCAATGATTATAAATAAATACCCATCAATCTGACATTGCGACATGCATACAATCACAAATAAAGAGAGAGCTCAAACAGCAGGGTACAATTAAAACACCGTGCCTAAATTCTAATGATTTGGTTCTTAATACAGTGAATAGAAACATTACTTGGGTCACTTAGAATCTAAGTTATGCGTGTACCGGTGCGAGAGATAATAAAAGATATTTTGTCTTCAATATTATGCAAGTGCATTGAGAACACAATGCTGTAATTTTATGCTTATAGTTGTCGTCGGTATTAAATGACCAGGGTCATTTACATCAATAAAAGTAATACATGTATTATCACATATTACATTTTATAAAGAAACAAAACGCAAGAAAATCAGTGATCATTGGTGTGAAAACAGATTGGCATTATCTTTATGAAACTTTTTCTTCCACCAACGTGCTGCAATAAAGTGGACTGTGGCTTGTATATCTAATATCTCCATTGCAGAACATAAAAATAATATATTATATTAAGTTATTATGAGAAACTACAAGAAATAAAAAGTACATGTATGCATGGATCTTTGTCTGTTATCATCACAATCATCGTCATCATCATCGTCATCTTCATCATCATTACCATAATTAACATCAGTTTCATCAGCAGTGGCAGCACATGCGCATAATACATACAAAAGTCAGTGACACAATGGGGTGGATGGACCTGATGAGACGAAACCAACTTAACAACATCAGGTTTCAGATTGGGTAGTAGCAGACGCAAATCACCACGCTCTATGATCGTCAGCAACCTTGTCACTGTACTGAATCCCCTTTCTACAAGAAATTATGTGGGAAAAGCTATGAACAGCAACTTGGTCTTTTCCCACAGAGAGGGATAATTTGTCTTGCACAACAATTTTCACCCAGAATGACTGGTACGACTTCTTGAACAATTTTTTTGTTTCAAAGTCGCTTTTCATTGTCAGAAGCTCTTGTTAAATTGCTACTGGCAAGTAACCATTTAATACAGTGTAGATAAAAAAAAATCAGTAACCCTTGTCTTCATATTGGCATGGAAACCTCTGAGGTGGTGGGTATAATATTTCTAGTTTCTCGTCAGACTCGCGCCCTTCTTTCAGTGTCTCCTCCAATCTTGGAAATTGAGCAAATTCTCTTCTGTCAATCGTTCGGCGGGAAATTTCCAAATTTGACAAGAATGACGAAAGCATGGATTTTGCCTTGATCAGGTTGGTGTCATCTTCCTGCAGTTGCAAGTTGACCTGGTTGAACTTTGTGAAAAAACCCGTGAGGAACGCAACGTTGTTCTTGTGTTCTTTCAGTTTATTACAGAGATCACTGTCTGTTTCTTGAAGAAAACTCAGCTTCAGCCGTTTCCTTTTGAGGGCCACTGGACTTCAATGTGCAACTGTAAGCATTGAAAGTCCTCGTCATTTTCAATGCATAATTGTTGGAATAATCTCGAATTCAAAGCTTTGGCTTTGATCTTGTTCAAACACTTGATGCCAATGGTCTGTGTGTAATGCAGGCTGTCACTCGGGGTTTTTTTTTTGCCACCAAATTCTGTCTGTTAATGACACAGTGAACAGTAAGTACTGTAACAGTGACTGATTTCTTCAAGAAGCTCGTAAATCCACGGTAACGACCTGTCATCGACGGTGCCCCATCTGTTGCACAGGCAACTACATTAGTCAGAGGGATCTGTCTCTCCTCGACAAAATCTTGGGCCACTTTGAAAATGAACTTGCCTTTGGTATGTTTCCAACATTTTCGCAAATAACAATTCTTGTATTATTTCCTCACCCTCTATGAACCGATATCCAGATGAAGACTGAACTCACGTCCCTTAAACTTAAGCCTTTTGCACAATGATTCCTCAACATAAAATGCTGACATCTCATCAATATGTTTTTGAACGGTATTGTCACCTAGTGGGAGAAATTTCAACACAGGCATCGGGGCACGATGCAGGACTGCGCTGACCACCCCACCCCTCTGATCGCAGGTAGTAATTATGAGGTCTTGACCAATAGTATGGGGTTCGCCTGCCTTTGCAATTAGTAGTAATAAATTATAATGTTGCTCGTAAGCCTTCATCAGCTTGATCGACATTGGCTGCAAACATCGATTTAACTGTTATTAGTTTCTGAAAATTGATCTTTAGGGTTTTGAAGTATGCCAGATCTTTGTCAGATTTGTCGGGATGAATCCTCTTTTTATGGGCTTTGCTACTAGGAAAGAAAGTTCTTAGTTTTAAGTAGTATTGTAAACTATGCCTAAGCCTTAGTAGTTTCAAACTTTCTTGACATGTTACATGTATAAGGGGTTTTTTGTGTGTGGCTTCTTTCCCCTTTTTTTTTTTTTTTTTTTGCATTTCATGAAAATTTCACACCGCCCCCTTGACGTTCACTAGCGCCCCCCAATCGCCCAATTTCGCCACAGCGCTCCCCAAACTGTCGCCACCGCCCCCCCTGGGGACGGTAGCGCCCACTTTGAAAACCACTGGGCTAGCCTATTCACTATTCGGCTTGGCCTGAGCCTGAAGGGAGGTGAGGGAGGCGGTTCCCAAAGATGTTGAATGATAGTGATAGTGATAAATCTAATCTGGGGCCGGAAGCTAACTAAAGGGGGTGGGGGGGGGGGGGGGAGGGGGGGTGGTACACTCTCAAAGTCCCGATTTGGCTAAAAAAAATTATAGAATTTGAGTTGTAGGCATTTTTAGTTTCCTTAGCTTAGCCTCTCCTACAACTATTTCATCGCATAAGAACCCCCCCCCCAAAAAAAAAAAAAAAAAAAAAAAAAACACACAAAAAACACAACAAAAAAAACCACGTATTTTTTCCCATACCGGTACGGGTCATGTTTGCCACCACCATTTCCTCATAAAGTCAATACATGTATTTTATTTTGGAAGTGCCTATTTGCACCGCCGCGTTGCGATTAGCGCCAGTGCTAAATAAAACGCTGTGTTGCTGTGTGTAAAATTTTACATCTAACGGAAGTTTTGATGGCCGAAGTGACAGCGCGTCTGCGCTTGAAGTCAAACCATTATTTTTTTTAGCGTGGGTTCGATCTTGGTCCTGGACGGGTTTTTTTTTTTTTTTTCTTGTTTTTTTTTTGGTCCTCTTCTCGACTGACCAACAAATTGTTCCCATAATTATATCTTGTTGCTTTGCAGGGTTTTTTTTTATGTACGGTAGTGATGAAGCATGCACATTCTGGTTTTGTCCCCAAGAGGAGCTCTGTACAAAGTAGGCCTTAGTATAGCCTGCACTTTTCCTTTTACCAATTTAGGCCTGGTTAAAGTTCAGTAGTGGCTTTCTTTGGTCTGTGAGTCTAATTTAAAAAAAATAATTTTAGGCTCAGGAGAATGGGAAAAAAAAACCCTTTCGGGATCGGGATTCGATGCCACGCTTGGAATCACTGAACATTAGACTTAGAGAACGTAGACAGTAGACAGCTTGTATACATTCTCTAGGCCTAATCCGTGCTATTTGAAACACGTTCAGAACGCGGCGTTGCAAATAGCGCTTACCTAAAAATAACAGGCCTACACAATAATTACAGTAGCCTCCTACATATAATTAGCATTACAGTACACTCAGAGAAGATATGTAGTTATATATAAGACTAAAAGACTGGATTCGAACCTCGAAGATCTTTTGCGCATAATACATGTATTGAGTTATATATGTAGCCTACGGGCAGTGTAATGCGCGAACGATCATCACATTATTGTGTGTCAGCTTTCATTAGGTGTTCATATCTTACCTACCCTTAGACCAGGGGTGTAACTGAAAGACAGCAATACAAAATTATGAAGGAGAATAAGTAGAGGTAGAAATGCTGCAAAAAATTATAATTAATTAATTAATTAAAAGAAAAAAAACAAACAACCCCAGACAAACACAAAACGCTACATTACTAATATTAAAGACATACCCTGAAAATGTATCTGAAGGACTTCATCCACATTTATCCCTTGACTTGGACGATTTAAGAGTCTTGACCTTGACAAATTCAGCAGTCACAGCAGCAGAGGGCAGCAAAATCATAATATATGATAGTAAAATGGACGCTTTAATATACACCCGAAATATGGGTGTATAATAACACACGTCCCCATATACCCGAAATCTGAGTGTATAATAACAATTTAAACGTTATTATGCACCTACCCGAATTTTGGGTGTAGAATAACAAACGGTATAATGCACCTAAAATTCAGCGGAGCAACGGGGAACAGCAACTCTATTTTTAAAAACAGGAAAAATATTTGTCCGGGGAACAGCGACTTCCCTAAGCGAATAC